AAATATCACATACAAGGGAAAATATAAAGCTATGAAATGCTATACAGAATATGTCAATGTCCTATTTCAGTGCACCCTGAGCTGATGACTGTCAGACTAGATCTAGAATGAAATTACTAAGTAAATAGGTGGTGAAAGCAACACCCAAAGGATAAGGCTTAACCTGGCCAGGAAAATAAAGTTGGGATGACTCTTTTACACAGCATCTGTGTTTAGTCTGATCGCTAGACAATCCCTCATTCCAACACTTGGCCAAAGAGTATTGCAGGGTCAACTCACCTCCTTATCTAAAATTGGCATAATTTAATTTCCTTGAAAGTAGTCTTTAACTCTTACTTTTAATTGATTCAGATAAAGCTTTCTTTTAATTAACCCAAATTATGCTGATACAGATTATCTACAAATCCTTTCATATTATAAATCTTGCTTCATGTATCAACAGGAATTAATGGGAGTCAGTATTGTTTAAGTTAAATGTTGAATTGCATGAAGTGGGTTTTTAAGGATATTTTCCTTGGCACAGTCCAAATCCATCAGTGATGAGGCTGCACAGTTTTTAGGGGTTCTTGTAAGGAGTAAGGAAACAAACAGATTTCTTTGAGATACATCCCATATCAGTGAGTCTGAATCAACAGAAAACAACTGAACAATATCATCTTCCCTCCATAAAACTGTGTACACGCAGGCACACACACAGAAAGCCTCGGGAGAGCCTGACATACAAAGCAGAATATCCCCATCAGCCCAGGTCAGGAGATTAGCAGTTGTTTGCTAATGTCAACTGTGTTGTTGACAAGTGTCTTGTTTTTGAGATGTGATAACCAATAGGAATCACAGCACACATATCTGCAAGCCTCCCGCATGCATCCCCTGTTCCAACATTATCTCAGTCTTCACTGCGAACCTCTGTGAGACATCTCTTCCCTGTCAGATACCCACGGCCATCATAGTGACCCCGTCAGTACACAGAGGAGCCTCAGTATCACACGTGACTCCCAAAGCCTATGCATTCGATTTGCTCCCTGTTGATGATTCCCTGGGTGCCTTGGTTTTATTTTGAAGACTGACCCAATTCTACCCAATTCCACAGGTCATCCCTCCTTAGGACTGAACATTTTAGTTCTGGGATCAAAATGTGATGCCTACAAAAACCATGCAATGCAATCAGCTAGGGAAACAGGAAATCCGAGAGCTGTTACAGGCTGTGCTCTGGAGCCTGGGTGCACAGGCAGGGGAGTGAAGTCCATGTACCCGCGCTCAGGACTCGGCTGGCAGGCTGCTTCCGTGCGGCCAGACCTGGGCAGCCGGCACCACCTCCCCACGAATACCCATCTGCTTCCCCTGCTTCTGATGCAGTCACAGTCAAAGGTCTGCTCATTTTGCTGGAGCACATGAAAGGACAGGAACCAGCTGCTGGCAGCGCTGGGGACATTGGTTCTCGGTGTCTGCTCTGCCTCCTCTCCCTCACCGTGCGTCCCTCTCCTCCCTCCCGTGTGGACGTTTCCTGCACCCTCTCTGCCCTCCGCCTACCCTGATTCCCATTCAGAGCTCTCGGCTTGGACTCATCTTTGCTTGTACGGACCCAGCTCCCAGGGCCTCTTTTCTGCTCCCCTGCACTGCCCCCCCCTACTGTCCCCGAGGGACCGTGTCTGTCACCCCGGTTCATCTCATCAAACCATGGTCAGCAGTCATAGGCCAGAGAGTGACATTAGCGGCCTGCATGTGGATGGCTGGTTCCATTTCTGCATATTTTAAATATTTCGGATTAGGATCATGCTGTCCAAAACATAACCTGTGATTTCTTAGACGGCAGTCTGCTTTGAAGACTTTGTCTATAAGGTGTTTCTGTGTCAGGATAATTTTTGTTGAGTTTATCCTCAACAAAATTTGGTAATGTATCGGTAATTTTGTTTGTCATCGTATTTTGGAAGTTTTTTAGGCATTATTTTTATGGCAGTTTTGCTCTTTCCTCTGCTTCATGAGCTTTAATGATACCAGTGTGAGAACTTTTGACTGTGTTCTTCAAGCCTCTAGACTCCGTTTTTTTCCCAGTACTTTTCCTTGTTTCCATGTTGGACAGTTTTTAACTGTTCTTTGTTTAGGGTATCATAGTCTTTTGTTTCCCATCTTCGTTCTGTCATGGAATTTTAAATTTCAGACATTGTCTTTTCTGATTTAAAACATTCAGTATAGTTCTTTTGTTACAGACTCTGTTTCTCTTCAAGATTTTCTCACTTCCTGTTCATTTTGAGGTTTGGTAGAAACTGCTTCTGACAGCTGCTTTAAAACCCTGTATAATAACTCACAATCAGAATTATTTATGGATTGGTTCAGTTTTCTGATTGCCTGGTCCTTTGAGAATGCATCAGATTTTCATGGCTGCTGGCATATCAGGTAATTTTAGGTTTGTGTTCTAGTCATCTTTGAAGGATGGTGTCTGACTTCATATACTGTCTAAGTTATCTGGAGAATACTGATCTGTTGCTGTTTTAACAACAACGGACCTTCTTGTTCTGCCCTTTGCTTTTGTGGTGGAGACTTCACTGCCCAAGCCCTGGGTCTGTCCTGTGGTGTGTCTGTGGTGGGATCTGGGCCCTGGTGCTTTTTATGCTGCGATCCTATTCTCTAAGACTCTGCTCTACGCTTTGGGCATTTTCTGTGGCTGTGCCACTTGCAGGAGAGCTTGGTGTTGTGCAGCTTCCAACTCCAGAATCTTTTCCCCAGCTCTCTCCCTGGGGATTCCCTCCACACCTTCTGGCTGCCCCTTTCCCAGTGCCTCAGGCTAACAAGGTGGAGTTTTCTTTGCCGCAGAGTGGCATTTTTGTGCATTTGTGCCATGAAAGAAGACAGCGAGACAAAAGAGGAAATGCTTGACCCAGGTTCCACTGTTTATACTATGAAGGCCCCTGCCTCTGCCTGCACAGCTGTGTTTGGAGCTGAACTGGAAGCAGAATAAAAAAGGAAACAAGAGAGAGAAAAAATGAATAGGAGGATCCCCCAACTCTGGCTCTCAGGGAGCCCCTTTTCTGGATCTCTGCCTAGCATAGTGGATTTCCTTAACAGTAGTTTCTCTATTTGATATGTTGGCCAAACCTAGAAAGAAAGGAAGGAAGGAAGGAGGGAAGGAAGGAAGGAAGGAAGGAAGGAAGGAAGGAAGGAAGGAAGGGAGGAAGGAAGGAAGGAAGGAAGGGAGGAAGGGAGGAAGGGAGGGAGGGAGGGAGGGAGGGAGGGAGGGAAAGAAGAAAGAAAAAGAAATAAAGAAAAAAGAAAGAAAGAAAGAAAGAAAGAAAGAAAGAAAGAAAGAAAGAAAGAAAAGAACTCCTATGAAGCTAAGCTGCTCTGACATCCACCTCCACCCCCTTCCTGTCCCTTACTCCTCACCACTCAGACAGGTGTTGTTATTCTTATCCAGGTTTCCTTATGATCTAGGAGTGACCAATGGGCTTCTCACTCCTTGGCTGCTTCTGCATGTCTCTGCCCAAGCTTTTTGTAAATGAAAAGCATGCAAATAAGAAGTTGAGGTCCATGAGTCATGTAATAAACTCTGGGGGGACCAGGATGGCAGATGTTTGGTCCACAGCCTTTACTCTCACAGTGCACACTCAGAGCCCGTGTTAATACAGGGGTCCCTCGGCATCTATAAGGGATGCGCCCCAAGACCTTGTGGACCCCCATATCTGCAGATGCTCAAATCCCTTGGACAAAATGGTGTGGAATTTGCAAAGAACTCACACACACCCTCCTGCATATCTAGCGGAATGCAAATGCTGTATGAATAGTTGTTATACTGTATTGTTTAGGTGTAAGGATGAGAATAAAGTGTGGCATTTCCACGGCAGAGGCAGTCTCTTTTGAAGCGTTTTCTGTCTCAGGCTGGTTCTGTCCTCAGATGCAGAATCCACGAGTCTGGAAGACACCTGTGTCTCTTTGCTGCTGTGCTCCCTGCTAAGGCCCACGTCTGCAGGGTGCTTCTCAATAAGGCAGAGCTGGAAGCAGCCCCAGAAGCGGGGTGGTATGTGGGGAAAGCCACCTTCTCCTTCTTTCCTCCTTTCCTCTTTTCTCTAAGCTTCCAGCAGATTGATATATTTCATTTTGGAAGGCAAGCTTGCTGAGGAAAGTCATTCATGGCTTTTCAATAAAGTTTCTATATTTTCTTTAAAAAGTTACAATATGTTTTAGCAGCCCCAAACTGAGTAACACTTTCCATTGCACTTTTTCCATCTATACACACAAGCATTCAGCTTAGTATAGTGGCCCTGGAGAAATGATGAATTTGTTTAATAGATTGGTAATTATCCAGCTCAAACATGATTATTAAAATTCCTTTTCTTTTGATTACTATATATTACCCACCCCACAATCCATTTATCACCAGCTGCACGCATTAACTAAGCCTTGCTTGCCCTTGACTGTGGGACTTCTGAGCTTCCTGCTCTGATTGTAATTGTAAAAGTGGTATTTCTTGAGTTGATGTGATATAAAATGTTGGACCTCCTTAGAAGGTAGAGCTGTACAAGCTTTATTTGTGGTTTTGCTGGCCATTTTTATTGCCTTAGAATATTTTCCAGTTGAGCTATGCTCTAAATAAAGGTGTCCTTTTGGGTTAGGGGTTTGGGTGGATTTGTTAATCATCTTTCAGTGGGTCTGTGTTGTGCAAATGTCATCCTAGTGGAAAACGTGAGGCAGAATTTGCAAGTAAAGTGGATGCTTTTTGTGTCTGCCTGTGATGTGATCCTGCTGAGGAGAACTCCTGGGTTTTCCTACTTCCAAGGTGGGTAATCTGGTCTAGAAATGAGCCCTGTAGTGTGTGGGGTACGCTTCCAAGCACCTGGGCGACTGAAGGTCACTGACAGGGACTTGGCTGAGTCCAGGGTCATCACATAAGAGCTGCCCTTACAGGCGACTCAGGACCCACTCAGTGTGGAGCAGCTCCCTGGGAACAGATGGCTGTGTCTGCAGGCTAAGTGTGTTTTCCTCTCCTCTTTCTCTGGCATTTCCAGTTTACCGTGGCTTCTGGGCGGTGCTGATGCTCCTCGGAGTGGTGGCCGTGGTGAGCGCCAGTTTCCTGATCATCTGCGCGGCTCCCTTCTCCAGCCACTTGCTCTACAAAGCTGGTGGGGGCTCCTACGTTGCTGCAGGTAGGTGCCAGAGTCAAGACTGGGTCCACAGCCTCGGTTTTCTCCGAAACTTCATGGCTCCCAGTTGCAGATTGGGATCTCTGCTGCAGTCCTGCAGCTTGTGGAGGCACCAGTGTTCATACCCAATATCCGGGCAGAGCTGTCTTCCAGCTCTCCAGAGACTCCCGGTCCACATGCTGGCCTCAGCCACCATGTAGTTCCCATGGGAACGAGAGCAGGGAGATTAGAAGGGACAGATGCACTCCCAACTCCATGACAGCCACTTGCTCTCTTGTTCTATAAATTTTCAGTCTGTAAATTTGGGGCCATTACATGTCTCACCATAACATTTCAGCATACAGGTACACTTTTTGTATACTCTCAAAAAAGACAGCCCTAGCCAGGTGTGGTGGCGCACAACTGTAATCCCAGCAATCGGGAGGCTGAGGCAGGGGGATCATTGCAAGTTTGAGGCCAGCCTGGGCTACAAAGTCTGAACTGCATAGCAAGAGCCTGTATCAAAAAGAAAAAAAAAAAAAAAAGACAGCCCCATGATTATATTTTTGATAAACATATCCTTGTGATTTATTTATCATAAGTAAAAAACAATCCTTTCCTATACTGCCATTCAGTTTTCTGTGTATTTATGAATTTCTCATTTCTTTATTGTGACAGGCTCTCATTACATTGTTAAATTGCTAAGTTGCTTGACCTTGTGATGTTCCTCCCCAGCCTTCCGGAGTGCAGGAATTACAGAGACCTGCCACTCTGCCTGGCTCTTTTCTCTAACCTGTGCTTTCCCTGTGCTATCTGAACACATTCTCTTCTGTTGAAACCTGCATTGAATTTACTCTGTATTCCTAACGGTTTAGTTCCTGATGAAGCGATCATACTACAAATAAAAATAATTGAATAGACAACATTTATGAATTTTAAGGGTTTTTTTTTGTTTAATTAGGAAGTAAAAGTTAGATGGCTGCCATGAAAATACAAGCACTGCTGCCATTTGTAAGGCAGCAGCTAGAACTTTGTACAGCAGACAGCTTCAGTGTGACAGGAACAAATGGTGAGATCAGGTGGACAGTGGCCGGTGTCTGTGTGACAGACAGATGCCAGTGCAGGGACTGATGCTAGAGAATTTCCATTTTATAGTTTGTGCAAGAGAGTCATACATCCCAAGAACAGGATGGAGAGTTTCATTGATCTATAACCTTTGCAACACAGCTTCCAATGCTGTCTGCCATAATCCATAGTGGTCAGCTAGGTAAAGTCTTTGTGTAATGTTGCCCTTACTTCTGCATAAGGAATAAAAGAACTCATCAAATACAGAGCCTGTGTTACAGAGTTTAAAATCACTGTGAGAAAAGCCCTAGTTTTTTCTTGTTTTCTTTTATTTCAATCTTTTCTTTCATTGGTATTACCCTTGGGGCTCAGAGTTTGTTGTTATTATTTTTGTTTGTTTATTTATTTTTGTCTTTTTGAGATATAGTTTCACTATGCAGTTCAGGCTGGCCTGGAACTCAATTTGCAACCCAGGCTGGCCTCAAAATTGCAGCAATCCTCTTGCCTCAAGCTCAGAGTTTTTAATAGTCTTATTTTATTGGGATAGAAATGACCTGAGGTGGTATTTTAGGCTATTCATAAACTTGTGCAAATATCACCACCTGATTCTGGAATATTCTCATCACATCATGAAGAAACCCTAGCTCACCTCTTTTCCACTCCTCAGCAGCTCTAAGGACCCTGACATGCTTTCTGTCTCTGTGGCTCTTATATTTCACATAATTGGAATCCTCAAGCTTCTTGCTTGACTTTTTTTCATTTAAGTTTATTTCATTACGATTTACACGATTTACAATGTCTCTGCTTTCAGGCCCATTCCATCTCTTAGCATCTTCTTTCCCACATAGTTTTTCTCTGCTAAAGTCTACCCTTGCTGCATTGAAAGTTATAGCAAAGGTGCATCCTTTTCTGCGGTCCTCCCAGAGATAAGAGAATACAGTACTCTCCGATAAAATGTAGACATTCTTGTTTCTTCTCAGTCTCTGATTTTGTTTTCTAGTCTGGAGTCCTAATAAAGGGCACATACAGGTACAGTAGTAGTGAGTATTAACAAATGATGGGCGGCCCCACTGTCTTAGAAGTGCTTCAATGCCAGCTTTGGTCTGATTGGGAAATTGTGTGTGTTCATGTATGTGTGGGCATTGACTGCTACGTAAAATTACTTGCTGTTCAATTTTTCATTTTATATTTTTGTGCAAGAGAGTAGAAAGAATTATCTTTGGCCGAGAACTCTGTAGGGGATAATGCGTTTGCTGGGTACTCACATAATCATCCACTCATGTTCAGTGGGTTTTCTTTACTCCCCAATGCCCTGGAGCCTGTGCTAAGGACTGAGGGCCTCCTTCATGTGAAGGGCCCTTCAGAGCTCTGAAAAGTCCATTCTGAAAAATACTAAACCAGTTACGAGAACAAACCTTTCAGTATAGATTTTAATATCCTCCATGGCACAATTCTGTATGACTTCTGTATGAGCGTTCATCTCATAAGAAGATAGAGAGAAGGGGATGTGAGGCTGAGGCAGAGAGACGAGGGGGGACTCTGCTGCCTGAGATGCAGTGTTTCAATGCGCTTCACACTTGGAGCAGGAAGACCCTGCACTCGGGGATGGTAGTGCTTGACTGTCTACCAGGGATGCCTGTCATCAGACACAATCTTTAAGCCTTCACAAGGCCAATAAATCATCCTTGGACTTGAACACTTGCTGACCTTACCCTTGCCATTGTGACCTGTGCTGATAATGTGGACAAGCCACCTCTCTTCTTCCAGGTGGGAATGGGCCGCCATCCCATGGGGCTATGAGGAAAATACGTGTGTTCTGCCCCAGGGCTGTCACCCATGCTGTGCTGGCCTGAACCCAGAACGACGCCTGCAGTTGTCTGTGGAGTAAACTGGGTCCAGTGTCTAATGCGCTCTTTGGTTAGATCTGATGTTTCTGAAGCAAAGGGCCCCGAGTGCTCCCAAACCGCCTGCATTTCAGGGCTCGCCTGGTCATCGCCCATCTGACCCTTTGTGCCTGCTCTGTGCTCAGCTGTGAAGTCAGGAACAGGTGTGGCTTGGGTTCAGAGGGCTGTGGCTGCTTTGTCCATGCCACAAACAAGCCTGGACTCTTTATTTGGACAGATGGCCTTAGAGCAGGGCAGAGCCACATTCCAGATTCCCCTGGGGAGGGGGCAGGGTGTGTACATGGAGAAGGCAGCTCTTTGGCACCAGCAAAAACCTGTTTTGGGGACATTTCATGCTTGGCCAAGGGATGTGGCTGTCACAGCTGTTGGGGGGCAGCCAGAGGTGGCCAATGGTATTTTGCAGCTGGCCAGCAGGCTTGGTGCCAGCTCAGGGGGCAAGTGCTGATCCTAGCCCTGCAGGCCTTTTTCAGGCCAGGCAGGCCAGCGTGTCCTGGAGAGGGTGAGCCCTGGACAGGGCATATGGTGGGTGCCAGCAATGGAGCCTGTGTCTCAGGGAGTCATCATTGCCTCCACTGCCTCGTCAGTCCCTGGGGTTCTTTCAGTGTGGACTCAGGGGGACACAGACCCACAGGCTCACATCTGTATTCTTCTGGGAACTTCAGCTCTGGCTCTCACTGGATACTGAACGTGATCAGAAAAGCTGGATGGGTGTCAGAGTGAGTCGGCGTGGCAGAAGGAGCATTTGGGTTATGTGGAAAAAATCATGGTGTGTGCTGAATCCTGCGAAACACTCTGTGAGGAGCAGCACAGTGTTCTGTGACCCGGGGGCTCCAGGCCAAGCCATCCTAGAGTGTGATGTTGCTCCAGCTCCTTGGGGTAGAAGCACTATGCCATTGTGATCACAACCGGTAGGCTAGGGTGGCCCCAAGCAGGGCTCTGTGGCAACTTCTGAGGAGGACGGTGGCTCACCCAGGTGAAGGAGAATGAGGAGCTTCCCTCTGGCCCTGCCACATCCTCGTTGGCACCTGTGTGTCGAAGATAAGAGTAGACCCTGATCCAGGCACAGGATATGCTCCCAGAAGCAAAGGACACCTCTTGAGTCTTTGTCCTTCGGATGCTCATGGCTGCCTCCTGCACACACTTGTTTGAGGTGTCCAGTTCTGTGGCCCCAGGGTGTGATCTTCTTTCTGAACAGCTGCTTTCTGGGCCTCATAGCTCACCAGTGTCCACAACAGATGCAGTTGGCATGCATTACAAATCCCCCGCCATGCAGGACAGAGCCTGAAACCCAGTGCTCCCAGTATGCTCACTGGATCCCTCCTGCTCTGGTCAAGATCCTCTGCAAGATAGGAATCCTCCTAAAAAAGTGGTTTGCGCCTGTAATCCCAGCACTGGGAGGCAGAGCCAGGAGGATCTCAAGTTCAATTCCCACCTGGCCAATTTAGCAAGCTCTTGTCTCAAAATAACAAAGGGCCTGGGAATGTAGCTCAGTAGAGCATCTTTGGGTTCTATCACCAGTATTGCAAAAAGCAAGTTAAACAAAACAAAATAACAAAATTATTTTTAAAAAAAGGAGCAGTGGATACAAAGAGGTTAAAAATTCTCATCTCTAGCAGGTGAGACTGACTTGGAAGGGGGGGTTAATGGGTGTGTTTTTTTGTTTGTTTGTTTCTTTCAAAATGCAAAAGGATACTGCAATTGGTTTCTAGTAAACAATGATTATTTCTACATGAGACGAGAGAGCTATGGGAGTGAAATAATGCAAGAAAATCCAGTGGACATTGTTCATACGTTTGCTTCCCTTTGGCTGAGCACAAGTGCGTGTGCACTCAGATGCTGGTGCCCTGCCAGGCTCTCACCTTCCTCCTGCTCAGGGCAGGAGTGTGCAGAGGTGGTGGGAGTCCCAGTGGGGAGGGCTGAGGGGGGCGCAGTGGTGGGAGGTTTCGTGAGCCTTCAGCACATGCACATCCTCTGTGCTAGTGCCTCGCTTGCACAAGCATAACACACCTCCCCTGTGTACATGCCTTTCTTGCACATGTGCTTTCCCTGCACACG